ATTAACACGATTTTGCACAAATCATGAAATGGTTTGAAGCGCAAAAATAATCGGTGTGCATCGTTGTATGTGTACTGGACAACACGATTCTGTCATTAAAATGACACCGATGCTTAAGTGAAATCCAGGTCCTTTTAATTGAAGATATAAAGTCGCAATTGCGACATATAAAGTCAGAATTCTGACTTACGAAGTCGCAATTGCGAGATATAAAGTCAGAATTCTGACTTACTAAGTCGCAATTGCGAGATTCCGTGGCTTATATTTTTTTTACTACATGGCGGAAACGGGCTTCCATAGAAACGGGCTTCCATAAAAAAGTCAGGAAAACAACACGCCAGATACAATGTTTAAACTTTGTTGCTATAACTAGATAGCTAATCAAACCGTAATATCTGCAGCTAACTTCATACTGTAGTTAACTATTGTTATTAGCTCATCGGCACTAATGCTGCTTGTCAGCTTCATTGCTTGTTTTAACGCTTATTGTGAAGTTAGCTTCGCAGCGAATACGTCGCTCATGTGAAAAATAGCGGACATTTTTTGCGACGTTTCGCAGGACACGTTTATTTACTAAGTGGAGTTCGATGTCCATTTACCGCCAGGTCAAACAGCTCTACTTCTCTAAATACATGAAGAGAGACGTGCAGCAGAGGAGTACTACACAGCACCCCAGCCAGCACATCCATGTGGGGTCTGCATGGGATGCACTTGGGCTGACGTGGGCTCCACCAGGGAAAGCCAAGTGGGGCCTAGTCAATTTTGTCTGTGTTTCCATGATGGCCCAACATGGGTTAGCCCACATTGGCTAATGATGGGCCCTTGATGGGCTCCATATAAGACCTACAGTATATGTGTAACCTAGCTTAATAGGCCAACCAAAGTCAGTCCAAAATTATTTTCTGGTAACACTTTACTTGAGGGGGCACAAGTAACTTATTAACTCAGTTACTACTCAAGTACAAATTATTAACAAATAAAGTAACTGCATGAAATACGTGGACCGTTTTGACTAGTTAATGATGAACGAACATGGGATCAATACGTAACTAGCACGTTCTGGTTAATTAATACATTAAGTAAGAGTGTAGTACTACATTATTTGTGCCCCAAGTAGTGTTGGCGATTTCCTTTCAGTTGTCTGTCTTTGTGAACTACTGAACAAGTAATGAATAACACAAGTAAAATACTGATCTCATGTTTGTTCATCATGAATCGTGATGCATCTTTTATCTCAAGATGGATACACAATGAGGCAAACACTTTTGGAGGATGGCCTGTTGTCAAGAAGGGCAGCAAAGAAACCACTTCTCTCCAAGAAAAACATCAGGGACAGACTGATGTTCTGCAAAAGGTACAGGGATTGGACTGCTAGGGACTGTGGTAAAGTTATTTTCTCTGATGAATCCCTTTGTTAGGGGTATCCGGAGGAAAGATTGTCCGAAGAAGAAAAGGTGAGTACCATCAGTCCTGTGTCATTACAACAGTAAAGCATCCTGAGATCATTCATGTGTGGTATTGCTTCTCAGCCAAGGAATTTGGCTCACTCACAATTTTACCTAAAAACACAGCCATGAATAAAGAATGGTACCAAAACATGCTCCGAAATTCTGTCAAATTCCAAGCATTGATTATGCAAGAATGGGCTGCCATCAGTCAGGATTTGGCCCAGAAGGTGATTGATAGCATGCCAGGGTGAATTGCAGAGGTCTTGAAAAAGAAGGGCTAACACTACAAATATTGACTCTTTGCATAAACGTAATGCAATACCATAGAAACATCTGACAAAAAGATCTACAAACACTGAGGCAAACTTTGTAAAAACCCATTCTTGTCGTTCTCAAAACTTTTGGCCAAGACTGCACTAAACCATATTAATCAACAGGGGGTAGGTGTTCTTCAGATGACAACTGTCAAAAAATATATATTAATATTTTTATTGTGTGTGTTTTTTGTAAACTATGTTTTATATGTGATATTATTGAGGGGAATAGTCCCCCCCTTCTCAACCCTGGGGGATGGAGATACGTGTCCCCCCTCTTCCAAATTTATGCCTATGCTTGCACTTCAGTACCCGCAATGAAATCTCGTCTAAATCTGAAATCTGAAGTTCACTCACTGGGGAAGGGAAGTACTTGTCAGTAAACAGTGGTCAAACTATCCTTTTTATTTAATAGAAAAAATGTCATTGCTGCCATTCAAGGCTTTATATTTGGTGGTGTGCAATATACATTTTACACCAGATCTTTCTGCTAACATCAACCAAAACTTTATATTCGCACTGAATATTATTCCTAGCGTATTGAAGGAACAGCAGCTACAGGATCAGAGTATGTGAGCTTCCCGTAACATATAATCTGTCGCTCCATATAATTCCCGTTTGACAGATTATAATGCTAGACGTACACAAAATATAGAAAATGTACAGAAATAGAGGAAAAACACGTTTGCTCTGTATCTTAAAAATAAATAACTCCAGGCAGAGCATTGCTTCACCTTGGGCTGCAAATACTGCTAAATACCTGGCTGCCTTTGAGGACCTATGACAGGTTTTTTTAATTTTTTTTTATTGCCCACCACCACCACCCCTCTTCGGAGGACAACTTTATTTTACATTACATTCAAGAGCAAAGTGTGGCCGCTCCAAACTTACCCGTCCCGTGGAAAAAGGGAAAAAAAAGAAAAACAGGGGGGGATACAGAAACAACAAGCGTAACAATAACAGACATCAATCAACATGGGGAGAGGGGCAAAAAAAAAAAAAAAA